AAGTTTATTCTTCAAACTTTTCGTACGAAAAGTACTAATTCACTGTTTAATATGATTATAGAATTTTGAGTTTTTTTTTTTACAAATTACACAATTGTAATTTTCTTGAAATATCTATCACGCCATTAATATGAACATATGCTGTGATTTATAAAGACTATTGCATTTGTGAGTTAAAAGCTCCAAAATGACTATGAATTAAGTTTTTCGAAAACCCAAAAAGTGTCTGTAAAAGACCTTTAAATTTCGTATTAACAGTAGCGCAAAACGCCATTTCTTAAAAAACTGCTTAATATATTTTAATGGAAATTGTATTTAGTACAAGGTTTTATTTTTCTTTAATATTCTACAAGTAATATTTAGCTTCTACTATTAGGAAATCGAAAATTGAGAAAATGACAAAAATGTAGTTTGTGTGACGATAGATGACCATAATACCAGTCCATGACCGTAAACCAGTCCACACGATAGGAAATAGAAAACTTTACACGAGAAACTGTACATTCTGTGGCAACACTAGTTTACTTTCTCTCACTTACTTTGTAAGAGAGAAAGTTATGTAATCGTGGACCGGAAAACGCGAATTTTCTGCAGAAAAACGTATGCCAGGTCATGATAACGAAAAAAAGTGGATAAATTCTGGTAGTACTATAAAGTACATTACTTTCTCTAACAGATGATGAAGCAAGAATCCATGTTTTGTGGGCTCTTGATACGGAAAAGTCGAATGACGGCAAAACGTAACACTAACGTAAACCGCTCAGTCGATTTTCTCCAAAACAGATACTCCGCGACAAATGTGAACGAACTCTAAGCTTTGGGAGTTTCAACCGGATATTTTGATTATTGAGGGTACTTTACGTAAAGCATCAAAAACATTTTGAGACTTTTCTCAATATAAAAACGGCTACAAAATTTTTCTTTGAACTTTTGGTAAGGATAGTGTTAAATGTACTCTATAAGATGACATAAATTCCATATTGCTCTATTCATTAAAAAAAATAACTATGCAATTTTGTAACTTTTGAACGTGCCCCTCTCGTTGTTAATACTGACACTAGTGGCAATTGTTAACATTGTTATATTTATGTGTACATGTACTTTAAATATTGTCATATTACATTTTTCGAAAACTCTTGGTTTTCTGTGAAAACTAGCTCAAAACTTAGCATTTTCTGATACTCTCAAACCCCATTTTCTCATAAACGGTTTCAAATGTTTCTTTACATATTTCACACGGATAGTGGTAATTACACTCTTTAATGTAACGTAAAGTTAATTTCAGTGTATTTTTTATTTATTTTTCAAAAATTTCACAAATGTAAATTTTTTTAAAGATCTCTCACGCATTGATATGCTCATTTCCAGCTATTTGTAAACACTATTGTATTTGTGAGTCAATGTACTTCAAATGACTTCAAATTTACTTTTTCGAAAACTCAAAAATTGTCTGTGAAAAGGAGCTTTAAATTTTGAATTTACAGTAGCGCTTAAACGCCGGTTTTTAAAAATGGCTCCAAATTTTTCAAAGAAAGTTGCCATTTAGAACGAGTTTTTACTGTTCTTCAATAATCTTAAAATAGTATTTCCGCTTTACAATTAGAAACCGAAAAATTAAGAAAAAGTCAAAAAATGTACTTTGGGCGGTGAGAGATGGCAGCAGGCAATAATATGTGGCAAGGTCAAATAGCTAATCAATACCTAAGGAAATAGAAAACTAATACGGGAAAGTCTGAGCCATTCTTTAGCATCATTAGTTCGTTATTTGCACGCGACAATGAATTTTTATACTGGAAAAAATCTGCCTTTTTTTACGCAGCATTACATAACATTCCCTATACTAAGTATATTTCTCCGTATATACGCATGTATACGGAAAATTAAAAATGAACATAAAATGTGAACGCTAAAGATTGAAACTATTTTATAAATTGAAACCATTCACATTAGTGATCATAAACCTGGACATAAAACATTAACGCGAGACAAACGAGAAAGTTTACTAAGTCCTAACTTTTTTGATTTCGTTATGTGACCCACATCCATATATTAGAGCAACATAAAAATAATGACTAGAGTTTTCGTTAAACAATAGCTAACGCAGTTTGTGAAATCTGAAATTGCTCTCCCTCATGA